GGCCTCGGCGGCACCGGGAGCCGCGGGGAGCAGGAGGTGGGACCGGCAGCACCGGGAACCGCGGGCAGGAGGAGGAGAAGGAGAAGGCGGGACCGGCCGCCCCTCCTCTCCTCACCCCACCGGGTCGCGGCCGCGCTCCCGCCCCCGGCGCCGCACGGCGCATGCGCTTTTCTCGGGGCATTACGGCTTTGCTGTGGTGTGCGGGAGCACGTGTTGGGCTCCGCGTCCTTGAAATGCGGTGGCGAGTTAGTGTCGGTAAATACGGTAACGCCGCCTTCGGGCGTACCTGTGTGGGTATATACGGTAACAGGGATGCGCTCACTGCTGGTAAATACGGTGCGGGGTGGCGGTGTCCCAGCCCGGCTCCTCGGCCCCGGCTGCGGACAGATCACATAAATCACATAAATCACAGGATCAGTTAGGTTGAGAAAGGCCTCTGAGATCATCGAGTCCAACCTATGACCGAACAGCGCCGTGTCAACTCGACATGGCACTGAATGCCACGTCCAGTCGTTCCTTAAACACCTCCACGGACGGTGACTCCACCGCGTCCGTACGCATTCCATTCCAGCGTCTAATCACCTTCCCTGTGAGGAAATTCCTCCTGATGTCCATCCTGAACCTCCCCTGGCACACAAGGGGAAGTTCCATAGGCTGTGTCCTCTTGCCCTGCGGCTGGTTGCCTGGCAGAACCCGACCCTCCCTGGTTACATCCTCCTTTCCGGGAATTGCAGAGCGATAAGGTCCTGTCTGAGCCTCCTTTTCTCCAGGCTGAAAACCCCCAGCTCCCTCAGCCGCTCCCCACAGGACTTGTGCTCTAGACCCTTCCCCAGCTCTGTTCCCTTCTCTGGACTCGCTCCAGCTCCGATCGTGCCACAGGGCAGCGGGATAAAACCCGTCCCGAGCTCGTTTTCCCTCTGTCATGGCTTTACACCCCCTCAGGGAGCGGGATCTCCCCTCAGGAGCGGGATCTCCCCTCAGGAGCGGGAGGCGGGAGCCCCTCGACTCCTCTGGCGCTGGAATAGTGCCGGGCTTCCAGGAAAAGGGGAACCTTATTACGTTTGTTGCTCCCGATCGAAAAGAAAGTTTATTTGCCGGGAAGAAGGAAAACTCCTCTATCAGCCCCGGGATTTTCCTCACGTCGGTTCCTGCCAGTAAAAACGTTTGAAATCCAGCAGAAAAGCCAAAGGGGTATGTCCCAGTGCTGGCAGATTCCGTGGCGTTCAAACTGAACTTGACCTCGAAGCACCTTTTCCTCTGCAATCTTGTGGCAGCAGGAGATCCCTGAACCTTCCAAGTGCCCTGGAAGCACAGAGTGTTACAGGGAGAGTTCTCCAGGGAGAACACTTGGAACCCTGCGGACAACACACATTGCATCAGCTTCTGGGCAGACGGCTCGGCTGATGGAGCTACTGTGGTTCCCCCGCGTCTCCTTTCCAGCTGTGTCTGCTGATAAACCTCCAACCTTTCCTCATGAGGTCTTCTAGAAAGGAAGCTTTCGTGGGAGAGCTGGATACTCAGATTTAACTTCAGCCTCGTTTGTCTGATTACTCCACCTTTATACCATGATTAAACAACTCATCAATTGCTCATACAGGATCCAGCCGATCCGTTGTTTCAGAGCAGTGGTATTTACAGGTTGTATTTCCTGAGATCACAGATCTTTCCAAAGTCGTGAGGAAGATGCAGGTCAGCACACAGCAGAGCTCTTAAAAGCTTGGCTTTATTGCTATATGTACAAAACTTGGTGGTGGTACAGTGCAAGTGTCTACAGGAAGTTGATGATTCATTTAAGATCTAAATAGTCTAATATGCTATTACACAAGTACAGCCCCTGCCAAATCCAGTGGTGGGAAATAATCCAAGCTATAAATTGTGGTCAGATTCTGCATAAAGCTTCAAATCATGAGCAGATTCCATGTGAACCTATAATTTACTCAGAATTAATTTTTTTTAGAATCAAACCATTTAAAATTATTCCATTAAATCATGTAATTAGCTCTTTTAATATTTGCAATTGATAATTCAGGAATTTAGTGCCCTGAGAAGCCAGTTAGGTTTATGAACTTGCTGCTCTGGGCATTGATGCCAGATGAGGGAGTCCTTTGTTTTTTCAAACCCTTTCACTACAAAATTGTACATACTAGCAAAATGGGAATTGCTGACACTGTAGAAAACAGTGCTTTCCCCCGTGTTGTAAATGCATGTCGTGTTTGTCATCTCTTTTTGGCTATTACTTCTGAAACTACAGGTAAAATTATTCAAACACTGGTACTTCTTTCCTCTCTGACTAACTTCTGACAAAGCATCAAATAGATGCTCTCTTTATGCAGAGAAATCTTTACCAAGTCATCCTGAAACACAAGAGGAAAGATGCAGACTGAAAGATGCAAATTAAATACCACAATTTAAAACTGTAGATGGTAAATGCTGTAAGGGCATTTCGGTGAGGTGGATTGTTTGTTCGGTGGGGTATGAATCCCAGTTTGGTGTGGCTGCTGTTCAGAAGCCACTCAGAGCCAAGGAGCTGGACAGAGCCTGCTCCAGGGGAAGTCTGATTTCTAATTAACCTGCTCCATATGGTGTAGCCCCTCTGTGTAACCCAAATGCAGGTGAACTGACACACAGGCCAAGCAATTTCTGATTCTTGCTGAATTCTCTGCAGTTCCCCTGTCCAAGACACCACTGTGAAATGCCCAACAAGCAATTTCAGCAGTAAAGATTTGTTCCGTGTTTCCCCTTCCATTTAGTAGAAAGCACATGGCCTGCAGATGATTCCCAGGATGCTGACTCTGCAGTAAGCTCACAGTGTTAATATATGTCTCATTAAAAACAGAGAAGATAACTCTAATCACCTCACTGTTAGGGAGCTCCAGCTCTCTGAATTGCTGCCAGAGTGAAATTTAAGGATTCATTAGCTAGATCACTTTGCAGTTGATACATACTGCACAAATTTTATTTGTTAGACTGGATTATCAGCAGATTTTTAAAGTTAGCAGAACCTCTGCATTCACTCAGGAAAATAAAGGACACATCTAGGGAATGTTCTTTAGGGCTCACTCTGTAAATAAAATCAGGAACTCTATTAAAAAGGTTAACTTAGATTTATTTACTGGAAAGAAGGCAAAGAATGAAAAATACTGCCGTAGGCTACATCCTGTATGTGTTCAGAGGATGATGAGTTTTGGTAGCAGGAATTCAGTGAGTATCAAGGAAATTTTTGACACATGGTTGATATCAGCACTGCCAGGAGCAGCTTCACTCCACAGCACACTGGGAAGCATAGCTATGGACTGAAAATACATTTACTCTCATCGCATATAAAGCATCCCCTATATATAATGTATAACTTAAGAAACAGCACAAAACCTGCCCTGTCTTGGGAGCATTTTTGTAAGCCCCACCTGACAGGCAACACACGCTGCAGAATGCTTTGTCCAGGAAAGAAATAAGAGAAGGACTCCAGTCTCCAGCTGGAGATTGCTCAGTGACTTTACCAGTGGGAGCACCACTCTCTGTACTTAAAGGCTAGGGACTGAATGGGCCAAAAGCTTTATATGAAATATTTTTGGAAAATGCACCTTAATCTCAGAGTATGAATTCTTTCAAATTATCTGTGAACCAAAAAGAAAAATGTTTTTCTGACCTGCTGGAGAGTAACAGAATAGATTGACATCTATCAGGGTAGCAGCTAAGTGGTCAGCTTCATGAAGTCACTTCCTTCTGTGGGTGGCTGGATGAAATGCTTCATTTTTGTCAAATAGAAAGAATTGTCTTTCCTCAGCACAGAAACTTGTGTTTGCCTTTTTTCTAAATCACTCCTAGATGGACTGATAGAGCCCGTGTCACATGGCTGAGTCACTGATACTGCTGATGCTCTGTGGACTTAGTCATGCTAATCATCAGCAAGAGGATGGAGGATGAGAGACTGAGAGTGATCCTGCTCCATTTCCTAGCTGAAAATGATAAAAACCAGAAACATTAGTCAGCAAGTAAATCATACGTTTAATTCCTTGAGAAGTGCAGATTCAGAACCCATTTTTTCCTCTATTACTGTCTTATTTTTGACCACCACAAAGCAAACAGCATTGTTTTAATGTTTTTATTTTGTATAAATATGGCAAGCAATTAAACCTCGAACATTTATTGTCATTCTATCTAAATTTTAATTTAAACCAGATAAACCTGTGTGCTTGGAATGAGGTTTATGTGTTTTACTGAGCTTATACTTTCAGCAATTACAGTTAGGAGTCTGAGACATAACTGGAGAATAACCTAGCACAGGAGACAGCTTAGGGTAGAATGCAAATGCACAACCAAAATTAATAAAAAAATGTCACCAACAAGTGAGATAAATAGAAATGAGCACCTATTTGTAGCTGTTTGTGTGAATGAAGGATTAAACATTTCTTGGAGCCCAAAGAGAGTTAATGAAAGCTGTTATTTATATAAGTTTATATAAGGAGCTGAAAAATTACTGAACAGCAAGTGAGAGCAGAACTTCTAAGCATTAAAATGAGTTGAGTCTGAGCTCAGGGATCATAAGTATTCAGATTTGTTTCTCTCCTGGTGTTTTTTTTATAGAAAGTATGTTTCTTAACTCCTGTTGTCCATTTTATGTACATTTTGGCTACATACTGCACATATGTACAGACAATACACTGTACACAGATTAATGTACAAATGTACAAAGTGCAGATTTTTAATAGTGTGCACCTATTTTCATTGCTGCTTAATTATTTAGGAACACAGCAAAACAGATAGCTATGATTTTTCTATTCCAAGTGGTAAAAATAAGAGACAGATTCTTAATTCTGATGCACCTCTTGTTCCTAATTGATAGTTAGTAAATCCTCTTTAATAGCCAGGTTTTTAATTTTTTTTTCCTATTGTATGTGTCAGTGGAGTACATGAAATAGGGAAAGAAACTTTTCTGGTCAGTCTGCTCATATCCTCTATTTGAATGCAAAAACCAAGAATTAAAGGTTATTTTGTCTTCCTGCAAATTAAGAGTGAAACATACCCTGTAATAAGCTTATGCCACCCCAACTGAGGAACATGAAAACTCTGTCAGGTTCCTTTAATGTAGTTCCAACCTTCAGAGACCTTACTTCTAATTCTGTTTTTTTTTCCAGCCTTGGAAAGCACTTTCCCTAAAAAGTCAAACCTCTTATTAAAAATACCAGTAAAAGAGGGAGTTCTCATGGCAGAACAAGGAATCTCAGGTGTCCTCCTGGAAGCAATAACCAACTTAGTGCTTGTTAGTGTGACAGGAGGAGGGATGAACAGCTCCACCTCCCTGTCAATCACCTCATCCCAGCTTTTAGTCCAACCTACAGCGCCTGAGTTCTGGGAATGCGCTCAGGCAGCGAATACGTTAAGAACTCAGACAATGTTAACTCTAAGATATGTAGCAAGGGAAGCAAAAATATTTCCAAAGCAAGAATGTACTCCTGGCACCTTATTCTAGCTCAGAGTCTCCTTCAAAGTTCTTGGAGGTACCTGTGGAGCACAGCAGAGCCACGGAGAGCAAAGCAGAACAGAGTGTGATCAGGGGAGGCCAAAAGGGAGGCAGCAGCAGAGGAGAATGGGATGTGGAGCTGCAGGGAGAGCCCTTGCTTGACTCAAAAGCAGCTGCACAAGACTTCAGCCATGCAGCTCTGCTCTGCAGCTGAGGTATTTATAAGCTGGTGTTTATTGCTTGTGATAATGATCACAGTCATAAATTTCTGTGTAGAGAATGCACAGGCCCTTATCCTGACATACACCCATTAGTCGTGATTCATATTTAATGCTAGGGTAGAATTAAATGTAATGATCAGATTTACACCCTGTCTGAAGCTGTGTTTGTACTAACATAGCTGAAAATCCAAATATTCCTGCTAAGAGGAATATGTTCCTTCAAGGATTCCTTCTGAAGACCATCTAGTTCTAGGGTTGGAAGTGGCCTCTGAAGACCGTTCTAGTTCAACCCTGCTTCTGAAGCTGCTGAAATAATAATGGAGGCCTATATTTTTTATTAAATTTAACTGAAATTTAGGAACATAGAGAGTGTAGAGGGAGTGAATATAACCCAGTGACCATATCAGAGCTCACTACAGGGAATTTGCATCCCAAAGTTTCTGAATGCCTTTGCTTTTCTTGGATTTATTTTATTTATGTTGTAAATATTAAAAACACCTGTACCTTCATGTAAAAGCTGACTTTTCAACAGCAAAAGTTAGTGCTAAACCTGTATTTAGGGACTGATATTTGACATAATGAAAGTGATATATCAAATGCCAAATGTCCCCTTTGGCTATAGATACACTAATTTTCAGTTCATGCAGCCTCTGACCCATGATTTGTACACAGTAGGTGGATCTGGCCTCTAATGTGGTTTTAGCTGGTCTGGAAAAGTGCCTGCAGCCTGACAAAAGTAATAGTTTGTTTTCAAACTGGGAATATTCCAATAGCATTTTATGTAATGGGTTCAACCTGTCTCTTTTAAGAATCAGCTGAAGGTGCTGAGTTTGTGCTGGGACGAATTTGAGAATCCATGAGAAGATTCTGGATTTTCATATCAGGATGATCTCTCCAGCTAGATATAGGTAAAGGATAATGGTATCACGAGAAGCCATGAACAGCAGTACGTAAATGTAGCTGGACATATCCATCTGGAGGGCAAAAGTTTCCAAATGTAAGTTATCCCGTGCTGATAAAAACACCACCTTTAATCTGATCAAGGAACCATTTTAATTCTTCTTCAGATGCCATTACAGATTCTGCTTCTACAAATGTGGAATTGAAGTTTCAGCTCAGTTAAACCAAAGATTGTTGGTCTGGATAATCATCTTCAGGCCACCTCCCAGTGCTGAACACTTGCTGGGGTGTTAGCTTTGACAATGTCTGATCTGCTGGAGTAATGACAGAAATTAATGCTGCAGAGTGCAATCAAGACTTTTTAAGCTGTTTGTTCTACTGTCCTCAAAAAGGCCCAAGTGGAACCTCCTGCTGGAACTCATCAGGACCTGAATGATCTCCCCTTGCTGCTTGGTTCTTAAAAATAGAATTGCAACTGTCTATTGACGTTTACTTTCTGCATTTTGTTTGTTGACTGAAAGGAGGTTAAGGAAGTTGCACTGTGATAAAGAAAGCTTCCTTTTATTTTCATTTTCCCTGATTTGAGGTCCTAACTCTGTCCCCCAATGTTAAGAAAGGAGCTGGATGAGAAAATGTCAGGGGCACTGGTTTAATCAACCTTCTTTTGAGACTGACAGTTAGAAGCGCTGCTGCTTCTGAATCCCTTCTTATCATCAATGAACCCCAAAATTATAGCAGTTGGCCAATCCAAGCCATTCACTGATTGTGCTCACAAACACAGCTGCTTTTGTTGCTGAAGAGGATCCTTGCTTTTGATTGAAAAATCCTTCTATCTTAAAGGAGTAAGAGAGGAAAAAAATTAGGATCTTTGGAAATGCAAACCAGCAAATATTTAGGAAAAAAGTGACATGATAGATGCTTGATTCAGTTGATTCAGGGAGAAAAGGTGGAACAACGATTCTGATGGGGAAAGGAAGATGGGGAAGTGTGTTTGGATAATATGGGAGTATGAAACAGGTTGTAGAAGAAAGCAGAATAAGGAAAAAGGAAAAGTAGGGAAATTCAGCATTACTTTAAAAAAAAACCAAAAAAACTTCCAGAGGAAAATGTTCAGAACTTCTAAATATTCTCCATATTGTAAGGACTCCCTGCAACCTTCAGATAAATTGCATTAATTTGATACTAGAAGGGAAGAAGTTTTTTTCCTGTTACAATGTATTTCACAATTGACAGTTTAAGAATGCATGGCCTAATCATTATATGTGCAAATGTCACACCGTATTTTCATCTAGATTGCTTTTTCTGTGAGGTACAAAATGTCTGCAGTGAGATTGCTCGGAGTTGTCCTCATCTGGCCTCTAAGGTCTAAGTGCTTGCAGAAAACAGCCATAAAGAATGGGCCAATAACCAGTTCACAAGGAACAAACCCTTGCTGTATGCAGTCACACCCATAGCCAATTTTAAAGAAATATGTTCTGGTCATCATTTAACCAGTAGTCTGCAATGGAAAATAATTAAAATTCAGAGCAATATCAGAATGGTCAAAACATGATTTAATTGAAACATTTTAGAAAAGCTGCCAATGTTCTGAGAAACAATTTGCTGTATGTGTATTCCTATGGGAAATTATTAAATTAATTGAAAAAGCTATAATATGACTGAAAGCACTCTCATAATAAACGAGCATCACAAAATCAGTTGTTAATCAGGATTAGAGATTAAATGGGGACAGTCTGGTAAGAATCTATTCTTTTCACCTAAGGCAGTTATGTGAAGGAAACTTCTTTGTTTCAATTTTGTACATTGTGCACCCAGTCCTAAACAGGTTTCCTGTCAGATACCTTGGCTGAATGCAGAAATCCAGATCTACAAATATCAATAAAAGAAATTTGCACATTTTCTACTCCATGAAATAGTAGCTCCATTTTTCCTGTGGATAAACCACAGGATCAGCTTTTTGGCCAGTTCCCTGCAACAAAATTGGCTAAAACCAGTGACTGCTGAAAAGAAGTGTCAGGTGCTTGAGTAAGACATTATTAACTAATATGACATAACCATTTCTGAATGAGCAAGACTAACATGGAGGAAATAAAAGGAGTCCACAGGAAGACTGATATGTGGGGTTATAATAACCACAAGAAACTGGTGTGCCATTATTCTGTAGAAATCCTTCCTGTAGCTGAACCAGCACATTTGCCTTTTTGTGTGAAGTTACCTGATGTGCCAGTTTCATCCCAATGCCTTAATGAACTTCAATTTAGCTATAGCAATTAATTATTTTACCTTGTCAACCTGACAGAAACATGAATGAAAATTCATTTCACATTCTGAAGTGAGGAATCCTTTCAGCTCAGGAAAGGCCAGGAGTGGAACAGCAGGATGCTGGCAAGCAGGGGCCAAAGATTACGAGGAGTGCCCAGAGGAAGCTGACACAGCTCCTTGCTATCCTGAGAACACAATGTTGTCCTGCATGCATCATTCATGTGCCTTCCAAAGGTGAAATGAGGGGCAAGTATTTTCCACCTTGTTACTTCACAAAACACCTGGAAACGACACAGAGCCTTGCTCAGACAAAGACATGGGCACTGGTAATGTGTTTCTCATGTTTCCTGCCTTGCCTTGCTGCTGCAGCTACTGGAATTTTAATCCAACTGTTGGCTACCATGAGCCTGGAAGCCACAGGAGTGTGGATTTGTGAGCAGCTGCTCCTGCTGTTCCACCTGTTGCTCTACATAAACAGTCAGTGGTGCACCCACAGCCACCAGGAAACACAGACCTGTGCACAGCTGGAGTATCATCAATGTCATTGCTTGTTTTCAGATCTGTATTTCTTTAGCAATTTACACACAGGTCAGTGTAAGTCCAATGTTTGCACATTCTAGCATTATGACTGCTTTTGTTACATTAGAAAATACTGGTATTTAAAACAAATAGAAAATATATTAAACCCTTTTGGACAGCAATACTGAATTGTAAAGCTTTGCAAGGAATAAAAACTATGAGTGTCCCAATAAATGCTAATCTGATAACCTCTTAAATCTTAAATTGAAAATAATTTCATTTTATAAAAATGTATTTTTAATACACTCAAATTCTATTACTTATCTTTGCTTTATCTAGGATATCTCCTATAATTGTCTAATTTGTCAATCCAAATTTTGCTAATTTTGACTCCTTTAATATAAGCAGCCATCTAAGACTTAAGATTTACAGAAATATTTCTAATAGCAAAGTAATTTCATGAAAAAGGTAGTTTTATGAAATGTTATTTATTTTAAAAATGTATCAAAAGCTGTGATTCACTTAGTACTTTACTGAGCTTCCTCTTGAGCAGACAGAGAATTCACCCTGCCTCAGTCTCCTCTCTCTGCAGCCAGACCCAAGAAACACACGTGGCTCTGTAACTCTAATTCTTCACCTCTTCTGCTCACACAGTTGTGAATACCTCAGCTGTATATTCTGCAAAGCAACCAAAGTGGTTTTACATTTTTCCTGCATAAAAGATTCCTTTTCTATCTACCTGCTCCCCCTGTATTATGCAGAAATCCAGAAAATTTACTCTCTGAATACTTTGCTTTGTCTCCACAAGTTTAGAAAGGACAGAGGGAAAGGCGGATGGGAAAAGACAGAAAAGTAAGATAAAGGAATAATGTACCATGCCAGCACAACCAAAATGTTTCTTTTTTATAATAAATCCCAAATGTACAGTTAAGACTGTGGTCACCACTAGAGGTCAATCATTTTTACTGATCTGAAATGCTTCACAGGCTTCTGAGGAGCCACGCTGGCACACTTCCCAAACTTAGGTGTGTCCTGGAGGGGACTGCCTGGAGTTGTGTGACTGGCATGAGTTCATAAACTGAATGCTGTGTTACTAGATTACTGAAATTCTTAATGTGTGCTTGTAATTCCCTGCATATAAAAAGCTCTCCCTAAGTGCTGAGAATTTATTCTGAGTGAATTTTTAATATAATAAAATCCCGGTCCTGTTCTACTGTACTCGTTATTGAATCAATCTAAATGGAACAGTACAGGATTATAAAGACCAGAATTAGTCTAAACAGAACTCTCTGTCTTACTAAATAGAATGAATTATTATAGCTTGATAAACATACATGTAGTTTGTATAAGCCTAGCACACATACTTCCTTATAGGATTAAAGTTATAGCTTAAATTTTCTTGTTTAGTCTTTGGAAGTTCTGGAAATTTTTGCCTGTTCCACAGCTTGAGTATTTTCACAATTCTTTCTGAACAATTCCAGTTTATTGTTGCATCTTGGCTGCATTAGAAAGCTTGTGTTTTTAAAATCAGCGTCTGCTTGAACACAAACGCATAGATACATACTCCTTATACTTAAATTTTCTTTACATTTGCTTCCTCAAATTGTAAAGTCAACATTACATTGGATTCCCAGCTGTCCATTTGAGGAACAATCATAAAAAATAAATGAGCTTGGGTTCCTATTTAAGGAACAATAAGGAAAGGACATACTTGTTTCCTTGCAAAAACAAAATAAACCAACTCCTATAATGCAAATAAAGAGATAATCTTGGAGTACACCGTGATCACAGGCATTATTCTGAGGTCACACTGTAATTCTGTGATCCTCAGCACAAGTCTTCATTTTGCAATAGTATAACAAATTCCACTGATGCCTTTGTAACTTCTGTGCCTGTGCAACTGTATCAAGTGGGAAAAAAAGCATGAACTGCGAGTTTCATCCTAATGCCGCAAATACCAGTTGCTGTCTGCTGCTTTTCTCTCCAGGGTGTCAGCAATCCACCATTCTGCAGCTCTGTAAGTGGCATTTTCCCTCAGGGCCGTGAAATATAAATATACAGGGTGGAAAACAGAGCAAGAGGGAGGAGGAGGTGAAATTGCCGTGGGTTACAGACACTCTTGCTGCTCTGTCTGTCACACAGGGCCTGAAGCAGGTTGTGAGCTGGATTAGCTGGACTTCCACACAGTGCAAACCGAGCCTTCAGAAGCAGATGGATCTAACCTGACAGCAAACAGCAAAACCCAAACCGTCATCATCATCATCATCATCATCATCATCATCATCATCACGTTATCTAGTCCAACATCCTGCTCAAGTTTAATGCACATGTTTTTTATTAAAGCTCTAATCTTGTTGGTTTCACTGAAGCACAGCTTGTGTTTTCACTAAAACATATCTTCCAGAACTGCATCCAGTCTCACTTGGAGAAAAGAGAGCAACAATTAGTGCCGCTGGGAATTTTTTCCAGTGACTCTCTAGTTTCACCTGTTAGACATTTGTTCCTCTTACAACTTTATTCACAAAAGAAATGTTCTGTACCCACTATTGTCTTTTTCCTCACCTTGCTGTCCAGAGTTAACTGATAAAAATAAGAACTGACAAGGGACTCCTGCATCTTTGAAGAGATGTTTATTAACAAGATGTCCAGTTTTTCTGATCTCAGAAGAATCATACATCAGAGATTTTTGTATTTCCTGATTTTGTTTGTTTGTTGAGGTGGTTTTAATTTTTTTAATCAACCAATCATCTAAAGCTCCAAGAAACCTCTCTCTCTCCACATTTACTCAGAACCTTAATATCCCTGGCTCTACTACAGCGACTGTTTCTTTGCTACTCCATCTCAGCGTTGCTATTCCTGCTGTTCCACTTGCAGACACTTCCACCAGCTAATGGCAGAATCTTGTTTCCAGCATCTGTCCACTGGGAAACCTGTTTGGATTTGGGGTTTAGCATCTGCTCCTGCCTCACCATCTGGCTGGAGGGGGTGGGGATGGCTCCTGGGGTTTTTGGCAGGGTGAAGCAACTATTGAGCTCATGGCTACATAAAGGAGCATAGTGCCTTCCTCAACGAACAAAATCCTGGAGAAATTTCACCAAAGTTCTCCTTAGGAGTAAAGCCAACTCCCAGCTGACTAAAGGGGATTAAAGGGAGCTGTGAAACCACGAGCTGGGCATGCAATGGCATCCTTGGCTAGAGCCAGCCCCAGATCAGGGACTCTGCAGGGAACCACTCTTACTCTGCCTGCTAAGTCTCTGTTTCACCTCAGCACAATTGTAGTGACAAACAGCAACCAAGACCTCCCACAACTTTTGTCTTAAACCTAGCTGGACATTTCGAGTAGGTCTCATATGGAATGAGGAGAATAAACTCTTCATCTCAAACTTAACTTTTGGGGGTATTTCACGCATTGCAATTTGTAAATACTTATAAACCATAAATGCTGGTGTTATTCTCTGGCAATGGAACATCCGACTCTCCCCACCAGAGGATGGGACAAACCACTTCCCCTCTCCCCCTCTTCAGACATCTGTTTTCAGCTCAAAGATTGTGGTTTCACCACAACATCCTGCTGGGAGCTCATGCCGACCTGCATGCCCATGGTGTCCCTGATGATCCTTCCAATCTTTCATTTTCCATTCCATGTGCACCTTCACATCTGGCTGTGTTAGAGTGCATTTCTGTTTCTTTTTCAAGTTACACTCTTGTCCCATCCACACAGGATTGTTTTGCCAATCTTACGTCATTCTCACAATGATCTGCAGTGATTTTTGTATTTATTTCAAACCTGCCTAAAGTAACAAATAGAGTCTGCTAGTGGTATCAGTAGAAATGCAGTAATAATCACTCTTCACTTATCACCTTTTAACTGAGAATTGAAATTTAGCTACTCCTCAATCCCTTCAGTGTGTGCTCAGGGTCATAGCCTGCTATGATATTTTAAAGCAGAGAAAGGGTTTATTCTGTACCGTTTCCCCAGCCAAACCAGAGAACTCCTGAAACAATCACTTTGTTTGATGATTTTATACCAAAATATGTTGTCTAGCATGTTTCATTTCGTAGTTTCATATTTTCATCCCATTAATCTTTTTAAAAAATTGAAAAAACTTTTATTTTTTTAAAAGATTACTATAAATAGTTCTTTCCAACCTTTGCGTATCAGCACAATATTTCTGTGCATACCTTTTTCTTCCTGTTGCCATCTTTCATTTTGCAAAAGTAGTTCCATGATAATTTTGGGTGCTGGTGATTCATCCACCCATGCCTGTCCCAACTTCCTTTGGATGTGTAGGAATGGTTAAGTACCTTCATGTGCAAGTATTCTATTTTTTTTCCCAAATCCTGGGTTGACATTTGGAATGCTGTTGATGCAGGAATACGCTCTCCATAGCTGGAGTTAATTTGGCTGCTGTCAAATCTGTTCCAGCACAGAACAGCTGATAGCAGCATTTATCAGTTACTATCTTTGGGGAGAGTTTCTGGAATATGTAGATGGCATAAAAATTTATGCACAATTCTTTAGCAATGTCTGGTAAATGCACCCA